CCACCTGCAGCCGGGGCAGCGAGCTCAGCCAAGTGTCCTTGAGACCGAAGCCAGAGTTGAATCCTGTAGGCCGAGGGAGAGCGGGCAGAAGCTGTCGCCCACGGCCCTCGCCCACGTCCCCACACTCCTACCCCAGGCTCTTACCGATAACCAGGTCCGGCTTGGGCCCCTGGAGCAGGTGGTAGGGCCGCGCGGACACCTTGATCTGCAGGTCCCTGCGGCCCCCCTTCTCCTTAGTGCTAGAGCTGAGCCGCGCGGGTACTCCGGAACCCGGACGGACAGATACTTCTGGGCCATCCTGGGGAGCCAGGAGCGGAGGGGAGAAACCGCTGCAAGTTAGGGCACTGGAAGGGCATGTTAGGCAAAGGGAGAGCAGGAGGTAGGGGGCAACTCCTCCCCCCCAACCCTTACCCTCTGCAGGGTAAAATGCTGCTGGTCACTGTCCAGGGGCAGGCCGTCACCCACAAACTGCAGCTCCAGGGCCACGTGGGGGAGCAAGACCAAGAGCTCCTGAGGCAGAGAGGACAGATCAAGGTCTCACCCCACCACCAGCTCCATGCCCAAATGCCCAGCCTCTGGTCCTGGAGGGACTTACCCAGAACACCATGATGAGGTCGAACTCCTTCCCTGCTTCCACCACATGGATTTTCAGTGACTGCTTGTTCTGGATGTTGAGCTCAGGGACTGGGAGAGAAGTTAGAGGCTTAAGAAGATGGTCTCCCTTCCTCGTGTCCCCCTCCAGCTCCCTGCCCCCCTCGCTCCCGCTGCTCTGCTCTCCTTACAGGACTGGGGCACCAGGTGTGTGATGACGTAATACACAGTCAACGGGTAGGTGAGAAGCACGGCCATGGGGGAGTCCAAGCTGAGGCCCCTCCATGTGTAGTAATCCTGCCACGAGCCTGGGGAGAGCGGGTTACTGGGGGACCTGGCCCCTGCGCAGACCCCAGCCCCTTTTAGTCTAATAGCCCCCTCTTCCTCAGGCGTTCAGACTGCTGACCCGCCCGTCCTTGTCCCTACCTCTAGCTCCCTCGGGGCCCCTCCAGCTCACCAAAGAGGCCCCTGGGTGGATCTGGGGGCACAGGGGGCATCAGGGCAGGCCCATCCCCCTGGAGAAGCTGGTAGGGATCTCCTGGAAGGATGGAAGGAAGAAGAGGATCCTGGTGTCAGGAAGGCCCCCACCTGGCTCATCCCCCTCTTCCTTCCAAAGGAGCTATGTTTCCTGGAGCTACAGCAAAAGGAATGGGAGATGGCCTGTGGACGCGGCTTCTCGATGGGGTGGGCGGGGTGACTTCTTTGAGGACTGGGGAAAGGCCTGAAATGACCGTGGGGGTGGCAGTGGAGTGCATGGGGGCATTATCCGGGGCCCTGTTTTCTCCCCCATCCCTCCCTCTAGGCTGAGGGGCCCATGCCTGAAGAGAGGCCCCACGAACCACTGAGAAGAAGGCTGAGGGCTGGTGCATTGCCCCGGGGGTGCCTGGGGGTGCCAGGGCCTGGAATGAGCATGCTGAGCTGGGTCCAGTAGCCGCGAGTGAGGCCCCGTGAGGCCAGAAAGGCCTCCTTGTTGAAGGTTTCACTGGTCACCTCTGGAGAAGGAGGAGGGGAGCAGTTGAGGGCCTGGTGGCTGGAACCCCAGGCTCTAGCTCTTCTCGAGGGCCCTGGGTCTGAACCGGGTTCTGGTCCTCCAGAGAATGAATATTTCCTAGTGTCTAAGGGCCACAGGCACCAAACCCATAGGGTCCTTGTAACAATTCCCTGGGTTTTAGCGTTTTTTAAAATACTCATTAGACAGATGAGAAAACTGAGGGTCTAAAAACTCAAGGGATTGTTGATGGCCCCCAGTCACTGGTGGGGCTGGGCAGCGGGGAACGCAGGCTCACATTCCTCCGCTCCAGACCCCGTCTGCAGCCCCAGGGCTCCAGTCTCCAACCCTAAATCCCCAAGCACTTGGCCTTCAGACCCAGAACCCTGTACCCAGGCACCCAGCCTCGGTCCCAAACCCCTGCCTCAGTTTCCCCCTTCCCACCGCCCCATCGCCTTGGGGTACCTGCGGTGTAGGTAAAAGGCAGAGCTGCCAGCTCCCCGGCCCGCTCCATGAAGGCTGCAAGCCTTGGGCACCAAAATCGGTGGCTCACGTCATCAGGGCATCGCCGCCAGTCGGCCCGGAGACAAGCCTCGCCACAGTACAAGACAGCACTGCACTGGGGGCTGGGGTCACAGGGGGTGGTGGACACCCAACGTTCAGCGCTGTGGCCTTGCATGCCCTGCAGCTGCCCATGTATCATTCGGTCCGCTTTTCTGAATACTCTGCTCGTGACAGCTTGCTTTCTTCCCTCCTTTGACTTCCCAGACCCTCCCCCCCCGCTGGCCAGTTTTCTCTGCTTGCCTGATTGTTGGGGGGCTCCCTCCCTCTCACGCCACCTCTTCGGCCGCTCACCAAGGTGTCAGCTTCACTTCAAAGCTATGCCTGTGACAGACATGGCAGGTTCGAGCGCGGAGGGAGGCAAACGTGAAGCCCGGACGGGGACCCCAGGTCCGCATCGGCGCCTTAGCTAACTTCACTCCCAGCCTCGGGACCAGACTCTGCAAGTCTCTGAATGAGGGTGGACACCGTCAGGCTGGGGGGCTCAGGAGTGCAGATCCCTACACCTCCCCAGCCTTAGATACCACATTTCTGTACCGATGCAGCTGGGCATCTCCCACGGTGAGCTGCCGGGGCTTTCGAGGGTCTCCGGAGCCCATCGGGCAGGCCATGCTGTGGCAGAGGAGAGCGTAGGCCCGAGGAGCCAGGTTCTCGGTCCCTGAGGACTTGCCGGCACTCCCCTGGGTTCCATCCATCAGCAGGTCAATGCCCAGGATGGTGCCATGTTCATCGGTCACCAGTAAGAGGCAGGAAAGGTGCAGGGGGGAGGCCTCTGGGGAAGGAAGGAGAAGTCAGGGGCAGGGGTGTGAACGTCATACGTGCAAAGGCTAGGCGGGTCAGCTAAGTGAACAGAGGGGACCGGGTAGAGAGGGTATGCCTCATTGGAAGGGGACACCGGTGCAGGGGTGTCTGTGGCCATGCAGAAGTGTGAGCCTGAGGGGCGCCTGGGTGGCTCAGTGCGTTAAGCCTCTGCCTTCGGCTCAGGTCATGATCCCAGGGTCCTGGGATCGAGCCCCCCCCCCCTTGGGCTCTCTGCTCAGCAGGAAGCCTGCTTCCCTTCCTCTCTCTCTGCCTGCCTCTCTGCCTACTTGTGATCTCTGTCTGTCAAATAAATAAATAAAATCTTAAAAAAAAAAAAAGAAGTGTGAGCCTGCTGTTGGACCTTTCCAGCTTTCCTGAGACTTCTGGAATTTTTTTCTTTCAATATATAAATACTGGCTCCAGTTGAAAAAACAGAAAACGTCGTGGGTCCATGAAAACACCTCTCCAGGCCAGACTGCCCTGCAGGCCACCCATTGGTGACACCCCTCTGGGCTGCCTGGTGGAGGAGGTCTTCCAAAGGGCGGAATCCCCAGCACAGGGGTTCTTACCACTTCTCCTCCCCTTCCTCCTCTCAGGACCGGCTTCGTCTTCTGCCTTGTACTCTCGGCAACCATCCTCTCCGCCTCCTGCCAACTGCGCAGCCTCCTCTGTCTCCCCTGGAGGGTTTGCTTCCTGGGGGGACTCCCTGCTGGCGGGGGCTGGCTCCCCAGCCTCCTCGAGGTCTACTTTCTCCAGGCCTGCCCCCTCCTCCTCTCCATTCTCTTCCTCTTCCTCCCCCTCCTCCTCCTCTTCCTCCCCTTCCTCCAGGCTGACAAAGCTGACGTAGGGGCTTAGGTCTCGCAGGTGGAGTGGGGGTTCATCTCCCAGGAACCGGGCAGCCCCCAGGCCTAGTCCAGGGCCTGGCTCTGCCCCTTGCCCCAGGCTGATGCCCACACTTCGGTTGGGCAAGACGTGAAGCACCCAAAGGGCAGGATCCTGGGGCAGCCTTCTGATCGGAGCCTCCAGCTGGCGCCAGCGGCCCTCAAGGCTGGCCCCCGAAGCCCCGCGCTCCGCAGCGAACTTTCGGAACCAGCCAAACAGGAGGGCAGCGAAATCAAGGAACTCATCTCGGTATCCAGACACAAACTCCATGTCTTCAGGGCCACAGGGTCTGGGCCCAGACTGAGCAGAGGAAGGGGTGTATGGTGAGGGAGAGGGTAGGGGTGGGTTACAAAATGGGGGCGTGGTTGAGGGTCCCGAGACAAGTTTTCAGGGCTCAGGGTGGGAGTTCAGGGGGAGAACGGGGCTAGGCTTGGAAGCGGGCGAGCAGGGGTTAAGACGAGTAGTCAGGAGTGAGATGGTATTTGGGGCCCAAGATCTGAGGCCCAGCCCCTCCAGAGTAGGGTCTGAATGATGACCAGAGTCGGAGGGCGAATCCTTTGGGGACGGACCCGCCAGGAGGGATTATTTTGGATCCGTCTGTAGGGTGTGGGGGGAGGGACCGGAGCCGGGGCATCCCCTCGGCTTGGATCGGTTAGGCCGGGGGCCCCCGCGGACCCAGCCCCTCCCGGCCGCCCCTCCACTCCGGTACCTGCAGCCGCCGCCGCCACTTTTCGAAGGTAAATACCTCGGGGCTGGCGGGGGGGCGGGCGTGACGTCAGGGCGGCCCGAGCCCGTGGCCCGCTGCCCGGCTGGCCCCGCCCCCAGCGCCCGAGGCGCGCGCGGAGAGGGCCGGGCGGGGTCAGCCGCCGCTCGCGGACTTCCCCGGGGGCATCACCTGGCATGTGACCGCGGCCCGGCGCCAGCGTCCGGCGGGGAAGCGAAAGCGCCGCGGGGGTGGCGGGAGCCGAGCGGCCGCGACTCCGAGGGCCGCGGCCTGACCTGGCGCAGCCGGGCGGGCACCCTGGAGCCGCGCCGAGCCCGTCGCTCCGCCGCCCGCGCCGCGCGCCCCGCCGAGCCTCTGCGCTCGCCCTTCGCTTTGCGTGCACCTCCCCGGCTCTCTCTGTCCGCGCGGGGGCCCGGGGCCAGCTCCCGGCGCGGGGCGCGGGGGCGCGGGGCCCCGCCTCCTCTGGGCTTTCCCCGCGGCGGCGGGCGGCGGGCGCGCGCGGGACCGCAGTACCGACCGCGCTGTCGGTTCGGACGGTGCGAGCGCGGGAAGAGGGCGCCGCCAGCTCGCGCCGCACCCCCCAGCCCAGCGCCCCGGCCGCGGCTGCCGGCGTCCCCGCGGGCTCGGAACCAAGCCGCCGGCCGCCGCGCTCCGGTCCCGCCTGGCCGCGGAGATGAGCCGGAGCCCGGGCGCCGGGTTCCTCGCGCTCCTCGTCCTGCTGCCGCTGCTGCCTCCGCCAGGTAGGTCCGGGGCCGCGCTGGCCCCCGCGCCCCTGAGTCCGCGCACGGGGTGCGGGCGGCGGGTTGGGGGGAAGCGGGAAGGGGGCGCCGAGGGCCGAGGGGGTGGTGTTGGGTAAGTGGCGAGTCGGGCCGGGGCAGGGGACAGGCTGGGGGACGTCCGGGTTCAGGCCGTGCTCAGGACGTGTTTTGGGGGTGGGATGTGTGGGTTGGACCCGGGGGTCAGATCCGGGATCGAAGGAAGAGGCTTAGTAACAGGGAGGGGAGCCCCTTGAGAGGGGAACCTGCGCTGACCGCCTGGGTCGCCCCCCCCCGCCCCCAGGCCATGGCAACGAGGGCAGCGTCATCGGCAGTTGTTACTGCCACAGGAGGATTCCTTCCCACTCCCCTCCGAAGGGGGAGGTCATGGCACATTTCCGAAAGCACCTGAGAGCCTATGATCGCTGTAATTCCTACATCAGGTAATCTCCCGGAGCGCTGGGAGCGCAGCGCCTCTGGGGGCCTCCGGGAACCTCTCAGTCGACCTGGAACTCCTGGGGGGACCGACCCCCTCCCAGGATTCCATTCGCCCAGCAATTCTCCATGCCTTGCTTTCCCTTTCCCACCTACCTGGGAATTTCCCAGGCGGGGCAGAAAGGCCCCCCCCACCCCGCTCTTGGCAGTGACTTCACATCTTTGGAATGAGGAAAGAGCTGAGGTGACCACGCTTTTCCTTCCTAGGTTCCAGCTCCATTCCCGCAGCGTGTGTGGGGGGAGCAAAGATGCTTGGGTTCAAGAACTGGTGAGCTGGTTTGATTGCAAAGGTACGGGCTTCCCCCTCCTCCCTGGGGTCTGTCTCCAGGGAAGCGGTCTCCCTCACAGTCGGCTTTGCCTGGGTCCCCTCCCCATGCCACCTCGAGTTCCTGTTGTACCTGGTGCCAGGCGATGTCCCCTCGACCCCTGTTCACCCAGTATCACCCACCATCGCTGTCGTGATTTGTGCCACTCCGTCCCGCGCTCTTACTTAATATTTTTCTGGAAGCCAAGGCACAACTTTTGCTTTCCAGTATTCTACTATGGAAATTTAAAGACTTACACAAAAGTTGAAAGACTTGTCCAGGGGACACCCATAGGACCACCGCTTAGAGTCTACGTTTCTAGCCAAGATTTTAGCTTTTATGTATTTGTGTTTTATGTCTTTTATATAGTAGGTACAAAATACAGCAGAGACAAATTCCTATTTTACAATGTCAAGTTTATAGCACGTAACCACATTTGCTTTAGTGCGCGCCCATCTATCTCATTCGTCATCAATCCACCTTCTCGTTTTTTACAAGATTTTGAGAGAGAAAAGAGTGCATGAGCAGGGGGGAGGGAGGCGGGAGGAGGGAGGAGCAGACTCCCCACTGAGCAGGGAGCCCTGTTGCAATGAGGGCTCCATCCCAGGACCCCGGGGATCATGACCTGAGCTGAAGGCACACGCTCAGCTGACTGAGCCCCCCAGGCGCCCCTTATTTTTTGATGTGTTTCCTGGTTAGGTGTAGGCATGACCACACTTCACCCCCAAACATCTCAGCTTGTGTGTCATGGAGCTCAATACTTGATTGTTGCTGTTTCTCTTTTGAGGTTAAATTTACATACAATAAGAGGAATAAATTCTTAGGTGTACACATGCCACTTTTGAGATGCGCCTGCTGTATTTTTCTCATAAAATAAATACACTAAATGTCCTAACACTTGCACAGACGCAGTCTTGCGTCTCCTCCATGGCGCACAGACCGGTCTGTGGGCTAGAGACCTGCACGCAGGCTTTCCCTTCATCCTCCTGGCCACTGTGGCCTTGGTAGGAGAGTTCTCCCTGCTCTATAGCTGAAAGAAAGGCGTCCCAGGGAGGTCAAGAGACAAGGGACAAGGTCACCCGGTGACTCTGTAGCAGAGTCAGGGTTCCAGCCCAGGTCTCGCCCATGTCCCGGTGCAGATGCTTGTCCCAGTGCTTCCTTGTTGCTGGTCAGTTCACTTCCTTCTCCACCCCCACTCTGTTATCCGCCTCTGCCTTCCTCTCCCGCCTTCAGCTGTGACCTTACTTCTTGCCTCTCCAGAATATGGATATGCTAACTCCGGGAGTGCAGCCCCCCAGGAGCTCTTACCTCCTCCCACCACCCAAGTTCCTGAGCCCACGCAAAGGGCACCTTTAGACACGGGCTCCCCTGCTCCGACGCACCTGCCACCCACCTCGCAGCCCACGCTTCCAGCAGGGGCCCAGTCGTTGGACAGAAACCTCACCCGCGCCGATAACATCACTACATCCACTGAGGGCCACCGTCAGGGGCCTGAGGAGAGGCAGAAGCAGCTGGAAGAAAGAGTAGGGCCTTCCGAGAGAACCTCAGCCATGGTGCCAGTGGTGTCCCTCCTGACCATCATCTTCGTTCTCACTGTGGTCCTCCTGTATGTGCTGTGCAGGAGGAGGAGGGAGCAGTCACTGCAGCACTCTCCAGGTAAGCTGGGCCTCTGGGGCCCCTCTCCCCAGTAGCTCTTAGGTGGCTGGAAACCTGAAACCTGCCCCAGGCAGACAGATATGCATCTGTCTGCACCGTGGACCATAGGCCATGAGAAAAGAGTCAGCTAGAGACAGTTACAAAAGAGGGAGGGAGGAAGGAAAGCCATCACAGGCCCAGGGACCCATACTTGACCTATACTTCAGAGCCAGGCAGGGCTTGGAGCAATATAAGATGGCAGCTAGGGGCGCCTAGGTGGCTCCTTAAGTGTCTGCCCTCAACTCAGGTTATGATCCTGTGATGGTGGGATGGAGGCCCGCATAGGGTTCCCTACTTAGTGGGAAGCCCGCTTCTCCCTCTCCCACCTCCCCCTGCTTGGGTTTCTGCTCTTGAGAGCCCGATGCGGGGCCCAATCCCAGGACCCCGGAATCATGACCTGAGCCGAAGGCAGAGGCTTTAACCCGCTGAGCCACCCAGGCGCCCTAAATAAAATCTTTTAAAAAGAAGATGGCAGCTAGAGCAGACTAAGGAGAAAGGAACCCATGTAGGAAGGTGGGAGCAATTCATTTAGTTCACACGTCTCTCCTGAGCACCTGCCCTGTACCAGGTTGTATCATTGAGCTTTGGGGATCGAATCCCCCAGCTCAAGCTAGTCCCCCAACTTCCCTTAATTATAAGCTGATATTTTCATCCCCTTCTCTTTTCCAGATTTGCCGCTGTATTATACACCCGTGGCATCAGACTCCAGTGCTTGAGTGGAGAGCGGAAACCTGAGAGGGTAGATGCCGTCCTTTATGCAGCCCCGCACACCTTTAATTAATACATCAGAATAATCTCTAGCACATGCTAGGCACTCCACGGCCACTTGATGTTTAATATCCAAGTGTCCGGCCACTGCCCTCTTGTCAGCTCTCCCTGGACTTCTTTTCCATGCTGTAACGTAAAATCTACAACTCACTGTGATACCCTAGACAAATTATGTGCTTAATTACTAAAGATTATTTTTATAATTATTGATTCTTTTATTCTGCAGACACTGGCCTCAGGCTCCTGCCCCCTTCCCAAGGTTCCTGGCTCCAGCGCCTCCCCTCAGGGTCCCACCGCCCCCACGATTTTATTTCCTCAATCCCGGTATCACCCACGTATGCTCCAGTGAGAGTCCCAGCTCCCTGCTTCCGTTGCTGTTGTTTTTTTTTTTAATTAAAACCCCTGGTTCTGCTTTTGTCTCTTTCCATGAAGAAGCATGTGCCTTCGCTGGTCCAGTCTACAGAAGCCTGGGGTAGGGCACGGGGTGTTGGAGGAAGTGTGCTGGTGGTCTGATCTCTGTCTGACCTTGTCAGCACTTCCTGGCGCACCTGCAGGAGCACCTGTGGGAGGAGTCAGGCCGCTTGATCTTCAAGTGTCTCCATCCCCACCTTCTGCCCCCTACACCCTGCCCAGCCGGGCCCAAAGTGGCAGCCCTGATGTCCCACGCCACAGGTCTCTTTGTCCCGGGTGCTGGTGGTGGCCTTCTTCCAAGTTCTCGCTCTAGCTGGTCGGCCTAGTTTTCCAGCATCTGCTCACAGGTTCGAGCCACATCGCTGAGCTTGAGACGGGCGTAGTCCACTCGCTTCAGGGCCATCTGGCAGTCCTTCCTCGAAGAGTAGCTGGAGCCCTCATGGGGCTGCCCGGTGGCTACCTACAGGACAGTCACATGGCTCAGTGACACACCCCTCCCCTGAGCCAGCTCCCCAACCCAGCGAGCATCTGGTCTCTTGCCTCCTGTCCTCCCTGAGCCAGACGCCGCTGCAGCCCGGTCACTCGGGGTAAATCACCGAACGTGTTAACCTCGTGTAAGATGTGGGTAACCCCAACGATTTCCTAGCCTTGTTGCAGGATTAGATAAAGCGGCATCTGGCACAGCGAAAACCGGCTCACCCCTGCCCCTCCTCTCAGGGCGCCGCCCCTGGAGACCCTGAGGTCAGGTCAGGTTTCTGGGCGCACGGCCCTGGCTTTGGCACCGACCACCAGTCCCTCCCCAGGGCCTCTCCGCCCGGCGGCTCGCGGGCCAGCGAGGCAGGCAAGGCCGCCTTAGGCATCTTCCTTCCCGAGGGGGAAGCCCACCCCGGAAGCGAGGGTTCGGCGGAGGTCACCGGCTCCCTGGAGGCCGGGTCGCCGCGGCTCCAGAGGCCGAAGCTCTGCCGCGAGGACCCCGCAGGGTGAGGCGGAGGCGCAGGGCGAGGCCGGCCGCACGCACCTGGGTGAGGTAGCGGATTTGCCCCGACAGCTCGGCCTCCACGTGCTGCACCGACGCCGTGAAGGCCGCCGCCTGCCGGTCCAGCAGCCGCTCGTTGGTCTTCTCCTTGGACAGCTCCAGGATCACGGTACCTGCGGGGGCCGACAGAGGGTCGGGGCTGGCGGGGCTGGCCGGGGCTGCCCCGCGCGGAGCCCGTCCCCCCGCCGGCCCCCGGGGTCCCTCCCCTCCCCGCTGCGAGCGCGGGGGCCGGCCGTCGTGTCCCGAACCTGCATTCTGGAGAATGGCGCCGATCTCCCGTTCGATGTCCTCCAGCGCGCGGAGCCTCTCGTTGGCCAGGCTGTAGGTCGCCATCGCCACCCCCGGCCGCCCCCTCCTCGGGGTTTTTCTCCCTCGGCAAAACGCCGCGCCTGAACCCGGAAGCGGCTGTCGGTTTGCGCCTGCGCGGGTCGTGCTCGGGGCTGCGACTACAATTCCCAGGATGCTCGGCGCCGCCCGGCCTGGCGAACTACAACTCCCAGGGTATCGTGCGCACACCCTGATCTGCGCCGCCGCCGCCACCTGGCGGCCACCTGTGGTAAGAGGAGGCAGCGGGGCGTTGGCTTCCCGGTACGAGGCTGTTCCGTCCTGCGCGCCTCCGCGACGCTCCTGGGGTCTCTTGCGCAGCTGCTGGTGCTGGGTGAAGATGCTGGGAGCCCCGGGGTGCTGGGGCACCCCCCGTAGGGGCCTAGGGTACAGGCTGACTCGGTGAGACGTGCGTGGCTCCTCCGGGGCTGGATGCCCGCGGACACCAGGCTTGGCAGCCTGTCCCCAGGGGCGGGCTCCGCTCAGCCTCCCCCTCCCGTTCTGGTCGCCGGTTTTGCGCGGCGTCTGGGGATGCGTCCTGAGCGGGATGGGTTCTCAGGTGACAGCAAGGTCTCCGTCGCTCGGAGGCGCGCGCGGTGCACCTGCGGGGACACGGGATTCTGCGCGCGCGGTGCACCTGCCGGCGCCCGGACACGGGATTCCGGCCGGCGGCGCTGCGGGAGCCGGCTTAACCGCGCGGACGGGAGACGGGAGCCGGAGCCCGACCACGAAAAGGCTTGCAAGCTAAGTGGTTTGGACCTCGTCCTGAAAGCCCTTGGGAGCCCTGGAAGGATCCTCCAGACGCGTGCTCTGGCCGGGTTTCCTTCTGGAGAGGTCGGTCCGGACAGCTCTGGACACGGGAACGAGGCTAGTCGGCACGGGGCTAGCCAACGGATGGAGACGGTCGGTTCAGCGTGAGGGACCTAGCATGTGACTCCGCTGCTTTTAAAAGTCCTAATACAAGAACAACAAGGGGGGTCTTATTTGGGGGTCAAAGAGAGAGAGAGGCAGAGGAATTAATAGCAAAAATTTAGATAGAAGCATCAAGACAGAAGGGTACGTGGTGACTGATTTAGTAATGAGGTGGAGATGAAGCCAGTAGTGGAGAAAGCGTAAAAGCAACTTAATTTACTCTTAAATTCACCCCCTCCCATCCCCTTACTGGAGGTTTCTTTGTTGAAGGCGGGAAACAGAGGGGCTTTGCGTGAAAGGCCCACCCGGGGCATGGTTGTATTGCAAACAGAGAGTGGGGCTCCTGGGTGGCTCCGTCATTAAGCGTCTGACTCCAGCTCAGGTCATGATCCCAGGGTCCTGGGGTGGAGGCCTACATCGGGCTCCCTGCTCAGTGGGGAGGTGCTTCCCCCTCTCCCACTCTCCCTGCTTGTGTTCCCTCTCTCACTGTGTCTCTCTCTGTCAAATAAATAAATAAAGTCTTTTAAAAAAAGAAAACAGAGATTAGGGGCATCTGGCTGGCTCAGTCAGAAAGGTGTGAGACTTGATCTCTGCATAGTGAGTTTGAGTCCCGTGTTATTTAAATGAATAAATAAATTTTTAAAAAACTAAAAAAAAAAAAGAGCTAAAAGAAAATAGGGATTTAATGAAAGTTTATTTCCTGAGTTGTTCCAATCTGGAATTCTCTTTTCCGGGTGTGCTAGGATGCGGGCTGAAAATGCAACGATTCAGCAACATGATTTTCCCCCCCATAAAACAGCCCAGCATGGGTAGTTCAGCATGCTCCACAGGTCATCTGGAGAGTTAGGGATGAACTCAGAGAATAAACAGATTCTTTAAAGGACAGTGACTCAGGGAAGATAACCTGCTGCTGGACAAGATAGGTCACCAAGAGACGGCACGAGGACGCTGGATAATGTACGTGTAGGCACGAAGGTGTGAATGTTGATTATTGATCTAGCCTCCCCCATACTGTTCTCTCAGGAGTATGGGGCCCGTGGGGGTCTCGCAGTGCTGGGGAGAGACGCAGAAGGGGGCTCAATCTTCACGTCGTATGGTGGGACACCAGTGATGCTTAAGATGAAAGTCAGGAAGCAGCGAAGTGAGCGCTCTGCTTGGAGGTCAACACCAGGAGAAACATCCGAGGGACGTAAAAGCAGCTACCTCTGAGAAGGGAGCTGGCGAGTGATGGGGTATAAGCCTTGTGCTTCTATCTGACTCCTTATGCTCTGCGTGTCCATGACTTTGAAAATAACAATGCGGGGCGCCTGGGTGGATCAGTGGGTTGAGCGTCTGCCTTCGGCTCAGGTCGTGATCCCAAAAGTCCTGGGATCGAGCCCCGCGTCCGCTCCATGGGAACCCTGCTTCTCCCTCTCCCACTCGCCTTGCTTGTGTTCCCTCTCTCTCTGTCAGATAAATAAATGAATAATCTTAAAAAAAAAAAGAAAAGAATGCACAAAAAGTGAAATGGTAGCGAGGAAATGAGTAGAGACTGACTTTATGTAGAAGAGACCGGAGTGTGGAGGAGGGTCTTCTCTGGCTTCCGTCCCTCCTTGAGCAGAAGAGACTTGCGTGGGTGTATGACGTACGGTGGACGGAGAACCGGCAGAGAGAGAGGCAGAGGTTGAAGAGAGGGGGTGGCGGGATGACCTGGGGACTCAGAGGGCACCAGTGGAAGGACGAGCTCTGAACGGGAGGCAGCAGCTTGACCTTGGTTGCATAAGGAATCGGTCCCTGTTGGTGTTTGTGGGTAGAGGTGGGAAGTTGAAGTCATCCGTTCCTGGTGGCCTCATCTCTGTGAAAATCAGAAGTCACTATGGGCATGGGGGAAGGTTTGCAAGGTGGCGAGGGAGGTGGCCAGGAAGACGGAGAGGGACAAAGGCTCATCAGGAACTGAGGGCCCAGCAGAGGTTAGAGATCATAGGTTGGCATTAGCCCTGGGTGTGTACCCAGTGCCTGGTGTTGGCACCTACGATGTGTTAGAAATGACTTGCTGAGGGGCGCCTGGGTGGCTCAGTCGGTTAGGTGTCTACCTAACCCAGGTTAGGGTCCTGGGATGGAGCCCCATATCGGGCTCCCTGCTCAGTGGGGCTTCTGCTTCCCCCTCTGCCTCTTCCCCTACTCACACTCACACTCTCCCTCTCTCTCAAACAAATAAATAAATAAAATCTTAAAAAAGAAAAAGAATTTGTCCTGCAGATCCAGTTTGTGTGTGCCCAAAAGACCTGTCTTCGGGGATGACTGCACTGGTGTTTGCTTAGCCGAAGAGTGGACCTCCTTCATGGCCCTCGGCAGGAGACGGGTAGAAATAAAGGCCACCCAGGGAGTGGAAAGTCATGGGGCGACTGAAAGAATAAGGAAGATCCGTAGGCGTTGCTACAGAAGGGAAGGCACCACTATAGGGAAAAGCACGGTAGAAACAGGAGGGCACATAGTGCTACTGTCTGTCCAGAATAAGGGAGAAATGCATCTGGGCAGGTGTGACCGGATGAGAACAGCATCTTTGGTTTATTTGAACACTATTTCGGGACGAGTGGTCACAGGACTGGGGACAGTGGTTGCCCCTGGGAATGACAAACGGGAGGCCGGGGACCAGGGGCAGGAGGGAGCCTTCTTTCCACTGTTGATCATACATGGTTTGGATTTTTTTTTCTCTACACCACGTGCATGTTTTGCTTTCTTAAAAACATTAACAAAAAGCTAAAAAAAAAAAAAAAGACATCAGCTCTCAAATCATGTGCTCATTCAAGATCTAGATGCGTGGATTCTTCCTGGGACCTGCGGGATCAGGACCCGGGAAGGTAGAGCCTGGGATGGTGCGTCTTTATCGCGCCTCCCCCCCCTCCCCGGGGTTGGGGGGTGGGGGGGGGGTCCTGATTCACCTGAAAGCCTGCTGAGCTCTGGGCCGAGAGCTCGGCAGTCAGAGTGGGCTCATGGGAATCAGAGGGATGCTGGCACTTCCTCTGTGTGGTGGGGGCCAGGCTGTGCGGGATGGGCTGTAGTGGGGGGTGGGGGGCGTCCAAGGTCACTGGCATTTTGGTAACACTTCAGTCCCTGGGTAAACGGTAGTCTAATTAGATGTCAGGCTCCACAGACTGAAGGCCCGTGGGAGCGGCCCCTGGGCCCCATCTGGAACCACTTGGCCTTGCTGTCTCTGCCCCATTCCCACCTTCTCACATGGTGCTGCCATCGCCCAGAAGATAGAAGGTTCCAGTCCATTCCTCATTTGCCAGTTCTCTGCTCAAAGGTCCTCCCTCCGGAGAGATCTTTCCCAAACCCCAGGCTAGGTCAGCAGTCCCCGAGGTCAGCACTCCTCGCCCTGGACTTCTCCTTTGGAGCATGGATACCATCACAAGGTCACCAGGGAGTGACTTAATGGTGGCTTTGGTCACTGCGATGTCCTCCATGATGCCTGGCACAGAATGGGCACCCCAGGCATGGGCTGCTCATGGAGTGAATGATGAGCCTTACGAGACACAGGAGACACAGGCTGGGTGACAGGAGTGGGAGTGGGTGCAGGGGGCTGGGCCGTGTCCGTGGAGGGTCGCTCCCGCCCTACAGCCCGGCGTCCAGGAGTGCCTGACGCACACCTGAGAAGCTGCAGGGGGAAGTCACAGGCGAGACTCCCCGCGGCCCCACGGAATGTCGTGTGGTTTCTGTCTGGGGAGGCCTGTGGCCAGGCTCCCACCGAGCCCTAGGACTAGGTGGCTGGAGCCGAGCGCCCAGCACACGTGACTGACTGGGTGGTGACGTGTGCCAGAGGCGAGGGGGAAGAGCCCGGCTCTGCCCGGCTCCGGAGGCCCCCAGCCTACGGGGAAGTGAGCGGCTGTTTCCCCTGTGAATGTAACAGCTGACGCTGTGGGTTCTGGGCTGAGCAATCGCGTTTCAGTGCCTCTGTGGAGCGCAGGACAGCCCAGCGCTCTGACCCTGACTGACGGCCTCGGGCCCTGCGAGGAGGCTGGCTGGGTGCTCAGCCCACCGCGGCCGGTCCCAGATGGCTCCAGTCTGCTCCTCCCACCCCCTACGGAAGACATAGACGCTCTTGCCTATGAAAAGGTTTAATTTCTTCTTTATGCTCAGAAACAAAGAAGTGGCCTTGCTCCCCCAAGAGGGTCTCCTCTCCCTGGAAAGGGAAGCTGTTGCTGTGATGTGAGGTTGAACGCGGGGTTCCTT